CCCCCCCCCCCCCCCCCCCCCCCCCGCCCCCCCCCCTCCCGCCCCCCCCCCCCCCCCCCCCCCCCCTCCCCCCCCCCCCCGCCCCCCTCCCCCACCCCCCCCCCCCCCCCCCCCCCCCCCCCCCCCCCCCCCCCCCCCCCCCCCCCCCCCCCCCCCCCCCCCCCCCCCCCCCCCCCCCCCCCCCCCCCACCCCCCCCCCCCCCCCCCCCCCCCCCCCCCCCCCCCCCCCCCCCCCCCCCCCCCCCCCCCCCCCCCCCCCCCCCCCCCCCCCCCCCCCCCCCCCCCCCCCCCCCCCCCCCCCCCCCCCCCCCCCCCCCCCCCCCCCCCCCCCCCCCCCCCCCCCCCCCCCCCCCCCCCCCCCCCCCCCCCCCCCCCCCCCCCCCCCCCCCCCCCCACCCCCCCCCCCCCCCCCCCCCCCCCCCCCCCCCCCCCCCCCCCCCCCCCCCCCCCCCCCCCCCCCCCCCCCCCCCCCCCCCCCCCCCCCCCCCCCCCCCCCCCCCCCCCCCCCCCCCCCCCCCCCCCCCCCCCCCCCCCCCCCCCCCCCCCCCCCCCCCCCCCCCCCCCCCCCCCCCCCCCCCCCCCCCCCCCCCCCCCCCCCCCCCCCCCCCCCCCCCCCCCCCCCCCCCCCCCCCCCCCCCCCCCCCCCCCCCCCCCCCCCCCCCCCCCCCCCCCCCCCCCCCACCCCCCCCCCCCCCCCCCCCCCCCCCCCCCCCCCCCCCCCCCCCCCCCCCCCCCCCCCCCCCCCCCCCCCCCCCCCCCCCCCCCCCCCCCCCCCCCCCCCCCCCCCCACCCCCCCCCCCCCCCCCCCCCCCCCCCCCCCCCCCCCCCCCCCCCCCCCCCCCCCCCCCCCCCCCCCCCCCCCCCCCCCCCCCCCCCCCCCCCCCCCCCCCCCCCCCCCCCCCCCCCCCCCCCCCCCCCCCCCCCCCCCCCCCCCCCCCCCCCCCCCCCCCCCCCCCCCCCCCCACCCCCCCCCCCCCCCCCCCCCCCCCCCCCCCCCCCCCCCCCCCCCCCCCCCCCCCCCCCCCCCCCCCCCCCCCCCCCCCCCCCCCCCCCCCCCCCCCCCCCCCCCCCCCCCCCCCCCCCCCCCCCCCCCCCCACCCCCCCCCCCCCCCCCCCCCCCCCCCCCCCCCCCCCCCCCCCCCCCCCCCCCCCCCCCCCCCCCCCCCCCCCCCCCCCCCCCCCCCCCCCCCCCCCCCCCCCCCCCCCCCCCCCCCCCCCCCCCCCCCCCCCCCCCCCCCCCCCCCCCCCCCCCCCCCCCCCCCCCCCCCCCCCCCCCCCCCCCCCCCCCCCCCCCCCCCCCCCCCACCCCCCCCCCCCCCCCCCCCCCCCCCCCCCCCCCCCCCCCCCCCCCCCCCCCCCCCCCCCCCCCCCCCCCCCCCCCCCCCCCCCCCCCCCCCCCCCCCCCCCCCCCCCCCCCCCCCCCCCCCCCCCCCCCCCCCCCCCCCCCCCCCCCCCCCCCCCCCCCCCCCCCCCCCCCCCCCCCCCCCCCCCCCCCCCCCCCCCCCCCCCCCCCCCCCCCCCCCCCCCCCCCCCCCCCCCCCCACCCCCCCCCCCCCCCCCCCCCCCCCCCCCCCCCCCCCCCCCCCCCCCCCCCCCCCCCCCCCCCCCCCCCCCCCCCCCCCCCCCCCCCCCCCCCCCCCCCCCCCCCCCCCCCCCCCCCCCCCCCCCCCCCCCCCCCCCCCCCCCCCCCCCCCCCCCCCCCCCCCCCCCCCCCCCCCCCCCCACCCCCCCCCCCCCCCCCCCCCCCCCCCCCCCCCCCCCCCCCCCCCCCCCCCCCCCCCCCCCCCCCCCCCCCCCCCCCCCCCCACCCCCCCCCCCCCCCCCCCCCCCCCCCCCCCCCCCCCCCCCCCCCCCCCCCCCCCCCCCCCCCCCCCCCCCCCCCCCCCCCCCCCCCCCCCCCCCCCCCCCCCCCCCCCCCCCCCCTCCCCCCCCCCCCCCCCCCCCCCCCCCCCCCCCCCCCCCCCCCCCCCCCCCCCCCCCCCCCCCCCCCCCCCCCCCCCCCCCCCCCCCCCCCCCCCCCCCCCCCCCCCCCCCCCCCCCCCCCCCCCCCCCCCCCCCCCCCCCCCCCCCCCCCCCCACCCCCCCCCCCCCCCCCCCCCCCCCCCCCCCCCCCCCCCCCCCCCCCCCCCCCCCCCCCCCCCCCCCCCCCCCCCCCCCCCCCCCCCCCCCCCCCCCCCCCCCCCCCCCCCCCCCCCCCCCCCCCCCCCCCCCCCCCCCCCCCCCCCCCCCCCCCCCCCCCCCCCCCCCCCCCCCCCCCCCCCCCCCCCCCCCCCCCCCCCCCCCCCCCCCCCCCCCCCCCCCCCCCCCCCCCCCCCCCCCCCCCCCCCCCCCCCCCCCCCCCCCCCCCCCCCCTCCCCCCCCCCCCCCCCCCCCCCCCCCCCCCCCCCCCCCCCCCCCCCCCCCCCCCCCCCCCCCCCCCCCCCACCCCCCCCCCCCCCCCCCCCCCCCCCCCCCCCCCCCCCCCCCCCCCCCCCCCCCCCCCCCCCCCCCCCCCCCCCCCCCCCCCCCCCCCCCCCCCCCTCCCCCCCCCCCCCCCCCCCCCCCCCCCCCCCCCCCCCCCCCCCCCCCCCCCCCCCCCCCCCCCCCCCCCCCCCCCCCCCCCCCCCCCCCCCCCCCCCCCCCCCCCCCCCCCCCCCCCCCCCCCCCCCCCCCCCCCCACCCCCCCCCCCCCCCCCCCCCCCCCCCCCCCCCCCCCCCCCCCCCCCCCCCCCCCCCCCCCCCCCCCCCCCCCCCCCCCCCCCCCCCCCCCCCCCCCCCCCCCCCCCCCCCCCCCCCCCCCCCCCCCCCCCCCCCCCCCCCCCCCCGCCCCCCCCCCCCCCCCCCCCCCCCCCCCCCCCCCCCCCCCCCCCCCACCCCCCCCCCCCCCCCCCCCCCCCCCCCCCCCCCCCCCCCCCCCCCCCCCCCCCCCCCCCCCCCCCCCCCCCCCCCCCCCCTCCCCCCCCCCCCCCCCCCCCCCCCCCCCCCCCCCCCCCCCCCCCCCCCCCCCCCCCCCCCCCCCCCCCCCCCCCCCCCCCCCCCCCCCCCCCCACCCCCCCCCCCCCCCCCCCCCCCCCCCCCCCCCCCCCCCCCCCCCCCCCCCCCCCCCCCCCCCCCCCCCCCCCCCCCCCCCCCCCCCCCCCCCCCCCCCCCCCCCCCCCCCCCCCCCCCCCCCCCCCCCCCCCCCCCCCCCCCCCCCCCCCCCCCCCCCCCCCCCCCCCCCCCCCCCCCCCCCCCCCCCCCCCCCCCCCCCCCCCCCCCCCCCCCCCCCCCCCCCCCCCCCCCCCCTCCCCCCCCCCCCCCCCCCCCCCCCCCCCCCCCCCCCCCCCCCCCCCCCCCCCCCCCCCCCCCCCCCCCCTTCCCCCCCCCCCCCCCCCCCCCCCCCCCCCCCCCCCCCCCCCCCCCCCCCCCCCCCCCCCCCCCCCCCCCCCCCCCCCCCCCCCCCCCCCCCCCCCCCCCCCCCCCCCCCCCCCCCCCCCCCCCCCCCCCCCCCCCCCCCCCCCCCCCCCCCCCCCCCCCCCCCCCCCCCCCCCCCCCCCCCCCCCCCCCCCCCCCCCCCCCCCCCCCCCCCCCCCCCCCCCCCCCCCCCCCCCCCCCCCCCCCCCCCCCCCCCCCCCCCCCCCCCCCCCCCCCCCCCCCCCCCCCCCCCCCCCCCCCCCCCCCCCCCCCCCCCCCCACCCCCCCCCCCCCCCCCCCCCCCCCCCCCCCCCCCCCCCCCCCCCCCCCACCCCCCCCCCCCCCCCCCCCCCCCCCCCCCCCCCCCCCCCCCCCCCCCCCCCCCCCCCCCCCCCCCCCCCCCCCCCCCTCCCCCCCCCCCCCCCCCCCCCCCCCCCCCCCCCCCCCCCCCCCCCCCCCCCCCCCCCCCCCCCCCCACCCCCCCCCCCCCCCCCCCCCCCCCCCCCCCCCCCCCCCCCCCCCCCCCCCCCCCCCCCCCCCCCCCCCCCCCCCCCCCCCCCCCCCCCCCCCCCCCCCCCCCCCCCCCCCCCCCCCCCCCCCAGCATGAGCTAACATCTCCTCCTTTGACACGCATCACAATTTGCCTATTGGTCGGTTTCAGGTTGCAGATCAATCATCGAGGTTTACTAGAGGGGCATCGAGGTTTACTCCAGAGGGGCATCAAGGCAGAACAGAAGGTGGTGCTCGACCACTTTCATTGGACTGTCTGTCTCTTATGCTGGCAGCTTCTAACCGGTGTCCCATTAGTTTACGTCCCATAACCAAGGAGAGTGTCAAGGACGCCAAATAGGCGTTCTCAGCCTCGCTAACTTGGAAGTAACGCACGCTATTTTGAAAACGAACCACTCTAAAAGCCTAGTACAATGAGCTAATATGCGTGTAAAAGGGTATAGACACAACTGCCGTCACTGGCTATAACATCATTTAGCGGTAATTGTGACGAACCTAAATGTGCTCTAGTAATCAGGAAAGGTTGTCAAGCTCTAAAAGTTCCGTCACCTTCCACCCTACGCATGGTGACTTAAGTCAGCAAAAAATAATCCGGCAGTATCGTGTGAATGAAGCGCTCTGGTTAAAACGAGTAGACAGAGTTTTTCTGATTGTCAACAGTATAGCTGTCTTATAAAATATATGAAAATGTAAATGAGACTATTGAGCTGGTGGCCCCTCTCAAGAATTTACTAGTGTAATCGATAAAAATTGATCCTTCCCAACAGCAATCCTCACCTAGCTCCGTCCCTGGGTCAACGAGTGATGTCTGTGATGTTTGCCGTCACACATCATATGCATTATTTGCTCTGACACATCCCACCTCATAGGAGAGAAAATTATATACCAAGTGTCTGTGTTTACCCCCTTCGAGGAAGCTCTACTTAATGATCCGTTTAAGATATTGGCATGTAAAGCCAGTACATGGGAAAAACTACGTAATATACACCTCGGCCACCTTCATAAACGCACCAGAAGCGACAAGCGTATCCCAAAGTGGTGCGACATTGCTTCGAATTTTATCTCCAGTGCTGCCTGTTAAATAACCCAACTATTCATCAAAAAATTGTAAACAGATAATGGCTATGCAGAATCACAGTGCCTTCCCGAATCCACAGCTACTACTACAAGAGGCAACCTGCTAGTTGATTAGAGACATCTTCCATTAGTATTATTGTTTATCCCACAGTGTTATAATGTTAGCGCGCCCCCCAACGTAAATGCACTGCAGTGAACCTCGAAAATTTCGAGTAACGCAGAGCTCATTAGACGTAAAAGAGGTTGTATTATCTCTTCGGTTCGCCTTCGTAACTCATCGGGTGTGATGCGCAATCCACTTAATCACACTAGAAAAGTCACTAAAAGGAAGCGGACAATCTAAACGACCATCCTTAAAGTGATGGTAAAAAAACAGTTGTCCATAGTATTCCACAAATTCCAGACACTGCTGACCACAAAGCGCAAACACAATACCCGATGGAGTAGTGCTGCATCCGTGAAGCACTCACAGTGGACGCGGTTCACTATTATTCATAGGCACGAAACTCCTTATTACCTAACTACTTAGGCTGTGGTCCAAGAATAACGAAAGAAAAAGTTGTACTCCGAAGGAATAGCAAAAATGTTATTAAATAACTGAATAAAGTTTTGCGTCAGGTAGGCAACCGATATGCAGCTAGAGGCAGAAGGCGCATGGTCAGGAGTGGTCAGTAATTTGATAGGACTTGCAACCTCAGTAAATCTTTGTCTTCATAGTGTTGTGAAGGGTCGGACGTAACAGTACCCTCAGCGCCAGGCAGAACGGTGGCATTTACGGAAGAAACTCAAGATTTTGAATACTCTGGCAAAATTTACGGTCCGAGTGACAAACAAAATTCAATGACTTACCAAAAATGTTTTGCGGCTTACAGCCGTCCAGACTGCTTACAACTCAACCGAAACTTTACGTCCAACAATGCACTCATACTTTTAACAATACTACCCTCTTTGTGTACTAAGGTCCTCTGCGATTTTAGCAAGTTGGTCGCCGTTAGATATTGCGAAGCTTTACAACTGCGGGACCCGGCATCAAAAAGTAGGCCTGACTAAGCATTGAACGTGTTGAATCTGAGATAAAGGTCCCGGTAGTTCGCTGTTTCAGAACGATAGCATTACATAAGATGAAAGTGTGGTATTTATTACAAAATAAACTTAGACTTGAAGTTAATACGCTAGAATTCGGTACACTTAATACGTTCTAATGCAGACAATTTTTGCAGAAAATGAACACACCTAACGAATTCTATCTCTGTACTAGACTCTGAACTGAAATCCGTTTTGTAGGTTACGATAAAATAGTCATATGTCTACAAGGTTATCGCAGAAGTCTTTATTGCGCATAGTCTGTAAATCCTAGTAAGCAATGGTACAGTTATAACTCAGTGAATAAATAAAATACCCACATACCCTCAATACACCACCACGCTCATAAGGTTCCAAACAACGACTATACTGCGGATACGTAAAACTGTGCTCAGTTACAAGGATCTTATGTCAGTCGGAATAGTTGCAAGCATGGCATTGGGTCGCATTGACCATGTCAGTCTACTGTTCGTATGTGCATCCCACGGGGAGTATCCTGAAGTACAATATTCTAATGTGTAAACGCTCACTGAAGCTTTATCCGAAATTTGTATCTGCGGCCATATTTAGCTGCTTATTTTTATCAGCGCCTATATAATATGCGTTTCGTTTGCGCCTATTATATATATATTTATATAAAGGAGCATCCCAAATGAATACGTCCCTGAAGTCATCTACTAAATATTTACAGAGATTGGGCGCAACGGTAGCTAACTCATCCGAACAGAAATCCTTTCATCGTCAAAGCAAAAGCACATTTTTCTTTTGAACTGAAATCGTAAACACATGTTTGGTAGGGATTTGGTATGGCAATCGTACAGGAACAGGCTAAATACCATAATCCGGAAGACGTTTACATGGTATAGCAATATCTTATGTATCAAACAAAATCAATTCCTAAATCTACACGACAAGCATGCGACTGCTCAGTGCATAAATTATCCTACAGTTGTTGTCCTGTCATCTAGCTGACTGGTCGCATATTAAACGTGCTCTACTCTTTTACAGAGTTTTGCATCTTTCACCTAGCGCAATTACCATGCACAATGCAAATCGGAATAAATCCACGAGTTCAGTGGGCATATTTTCGAAAGTATTTCCTACGGCGAGGGATTTTTGCTACACAAGTTGTTTTAGACTCGCCACTCTGTTGCTTTTTAACAGTTTTCGATGCTGCGATATTGTGATCTATTATAGCAGCTCCACGCTATTTGGTGGTCCTAGAAGTTCGTACACAGGATTATTTCTAACGAAGCTACGACTCAATCTGTGGTTTCAATTGCGTTTGCCCATCACCGGCAATTTCGCTGTCATGCACCCAATACAAGCCACTTCCAAAGGCCTTGTTCTACAGGAACCAGTGTGGATAAATAAGCTAGCCAAACCGTTTACGTGTGCCCTCGTCGTGCACACTCACCTACGGTAACCGATGTTAAGAGTGCGAGTGTTACAAAGTACAGGAGCGTTACGCGCCCTCTAAGTCATGTGACCAGAGAAGGGAAGCGTTCGTTTGCAAAGACGGTCGTCAATGGGATTGATTCCATCTAACCGCAAATGTTGGAAGCAAAATTGTACACGTCCAGTTTCATGAGACATTATTCGTGAATATTGCCACCGTCTGTTTCACCCATTATCTACTATTATAAATCAACTGCAGTACAAGAGGCAAGTCAACTCGACTGATTGGCTCTAATTTTGTCAAAGATGCAATCAGCCTCAATAGTCAAATGTATAATATCGCTCATGAAAAAGTGTTAAAAGCTGACTGAAACAGTCTAGCAAGTGGCGAGCTTCAGGGCTTTGTCATTAAAATCTAACAACACCGTTCATGCTCTAAAGCAAACCCTCAGAGCTCTGTTTCTATGTCGAAGGCTAAAGTCAAGCTTGCTAACCGCCTGACGGCATCTGCGCCACCTACTCCGACAATTACTAACCCTTTATGTAAGCAAGACACCTCCAGCGTGACTACTATTCATGAATCCCTGGATGAAATATCTTACGAGTTGCTGACAGCACGGACACGGACAGTGCGGAGCCGGGTAAGATAAGCATCGATCGCTTCGAGCAAAACGCCCAAAGAGACACACGTACGTCCATTTTCTAGACCAGGCGCGAGCGACGCGACGCCGTTTTTACAACGTTCCTTAGTGCCCGCCAAACAGTCCAAGTTAATAGCCACAACACTCAAGTCAACGTTCGCTAAACAAAACCACAGTCCGTTAACTGTCATGTACACTAACGTACCTGAGTCTAGTTCTGGCATAATAAAGTGCTAGTTGGTAGATGATCGTAACCAGTTGTATTCCCACTGCAATGCGATTTTATTCGGATTGACCCAACTGAGCTGCAACGTGTTCCGCATTAGGAAACTGCAGTGCACTACGGCGAAATCCAGTTGCTTTGCATAATCTTGACTTCTACTGAGGTGACAGACATAGTCCTGCGCTAAGCAACGCATAGAGCGGGGTACGCATACTACCAGATATTCACTGGAAAGGACGGTCAAAGGAAAAAGAAAATCTTGGCAGTCTTTCTACGAACCGAAGCGAAGAAACCGTATTTGTTCAACTTGTTGCTGAACTACTGGGATCTCCTGAGCACGAAGCACGAAATCATGACTGCAATCAGTGGTGCTAAATCCGCAGATGCTCTCTCCGGACCACGTTATTGCTAAATCAGTAACGAGAATTCCTTCAACTACAAACTACTGGGACTGCGGTCCAAAAGCAGTTAAAGTCATGCTCCCTTCCGATGGAATGACAGAAATCCTATTGGATAGCTAATTGAAGCATCGCTCCAGTTTGCGGACCGAGATTAGGCTAAACATAGTGGGCGTAATGCCAATTGATATCAGCGCTTTATTGGAACATGTAACCTCAGTAAAATAGTTGCCTCCTTAATCCTGCAGAGTTGTAGACAATATGGCATTAGCGCAGCTGACAGGACAAGGACATACAAGAGAGA